AAGAAATAGTTATAACATTGTTAAAATTAAACTATAGAAAAAACTCAAAATAAAGATTCCACAGGGCAGTTAACATTAATATCTTATCATCTATAAATAGCTATGATAGATTTTGTTATACAATTATATGAATAACATATTGTAATGCTTAAAAAGTTGTTAGGGTTATTTTATAAATCTATACACATGTCTGAAGGAGCACGCCTCCATTTAGAGAAAGTAAACTTATTCATATCATCTTCAACATGCTTCGTGAAACATTGGTCTTGGTCTTCAACTTTGCAACAACAAGGCATAAAACACAAACGGATGCTAAAGGGAACAAAGACAAAAACAAAAAAGCTCTTATTGTAATACATAGGAGGAGCTAGAGCCCAAGACTCAAGACGAAATCAAAGGTTTCTGACTTTCAAAGCTCTCCTTCCTTCAAAGTGATCAGGATCACTCTCATGCTCTCTTTTTTTCTCCCTTTCTTCTTGTTGTCTTTTGGCTTGTTCTTGCTCCTGTTCTGCTACTTCTTCTCCTGATCCTTTCCCCTTCTCTCTCCTCGGTCTCTCCCACCATGTCGGATCTTCTTCTTCTTTTCCTTCGCTTTGGTCCTCCTCTTGTCTCTTCATTTCCCTCTTTTCTTGCTCTTTCTTGGCTTCTTCTGCTTCTTCTCCCTTTTCTTTCTCTCTTTTCTTTTCCCTCTTCTCCTGTTGCCTTTTAGCTGCTTCTTCCTCCCTCTCCCTCACTTCTTCCCTTTCCCTTTTTTTCTCTCTCCCACCTTCTTCTTGCTCCCTCTCTTCCTCCTCCTCACGCTTCTTTTCCCTCTCTTCTTGTTGTTTTTTGGCTTCCACTTCCTCTCTCTCCCTCTTTCTCTCTCTCTTCCTGTCTTCCTCCTCTTCTCTTTTTCTCTCCTCCTCCTCTTCTCTTTTTATCTCCCTTTCTTCCTCCTTCATTGTACTCTCCTCTTCCTCTGCGCAGGTAGAGCACGCGAAAATGATGGAATCTCTGGGAGAACGCCGAAGTTCGTCAACGGTTCTGTCACTCACACCCAAAGAGGTAGCCAGTATATGCTTGTCCAGATTGTGAAGCACAGATCCCTTTCCCGTCAAAAATTGAGGACGGTTGTCCTTCGCTGAAGTGCTGAAGCCCAGAAAAACAAACGGTTCATCGTTGAATGCCATCTGAGCCATTGAATGAAACCTAGGCACCACAAAAGCATCACCCGCGTTAACCTTAAACCTCATGCTTTGCCTTTCTGTATCACCTTCATTGCTGCTTCCGTTTACCACTCGGACCATGCCTTTCCCTTCTACTGCCACTGCCAACTCTGCTGCCTTTGGGTTCCAATGAGGCTCCATTATTGATCCCTTCAATTTTATAGATTGGAAATTAATTTCATACAACTTCATAAGCATGCACAATAATAAAAACCAGTTCCACCGGTTTGTAAAAACTGTTCGTTCCAAAACCGGTTAAGAACCGAGCGTTTTACGTAGTTTTGTCCTAGTTATAATCACTAACCTCGTTCAAATGCACCATAAGAAATCCAATGTTCGTTCGCTTCAATGACTTTAGTTGCGTTTTGGATATTGCTACGCTCCTACCATAACGATTTTTGAAGTCAGGTTCATGATCAAGGATGTTGTATTTTTCGAGAGCGTTGGACCCAACACCCACAATTTTCCTAAGAAATGAAGCCTCCAGTGTCTGGACAATATTCGTCTTCTTTGAATCCGCATGCACTATAGCTGGCGTATTTTTCTTGTTGATGATTTCTTCTATCAAATCATCCGGTACCTTCAAAATTCATAATTTGTAATTTTGTCGTTAGTACACAACAATCCCTATAAAAGGCAGTTCTATTACGATTTACGTACTTCCACAGTTGCACAGTGTTTCGCTATAGCAATACCTTTAAAGCTGCTTGCATGATTTTCTTATCAAAGCCCTTGACCAGTTGGTCGATTCTTGAGTAAGCACCGATTGATGGATTCTGCATTCGTGGTTAATAATTAACACGAATAACAGCAAACAAACCTTAACTTTCCGTCTAAGCTCAATGAAAAAGAATACATGTGTAGCACTTACATAAGTATTGTCTTCTGTATTGGTTAACATTGCATAGATCCTGAGTTTCCTTCTCTCAGCCTCTAAGTCGCTCTGTATATAGAAAACAGATCCTTCATTGAGATTACTGACATCTCCTTCGCGTAAAGGGATCGTGCCAGTATCATCATCATGTGCCCAAGTCAGCTTTCCACTCCCTGAAGCCACAGTGTGATTAGAGTGTTGACATTAATTTGGATTAGATAAGCAGTATATGGCAAAAAATGGAAGAAAACCTTGCATACTATGTGAATATAATGTAGACAATTAAAAGGTATACACCTGTATGAACATAAAAGACCATATCTGAATGTAGAAGCACAGGAAGAAATAGCGAGTTTGGCTCCAATGTGATGAACTGAAGATGGTAAGGAAGTTTATCTGGTTCTTCCTTGATGTCAAGGGCGGTTATCTGTCCGAACTCAGTGGCAAGTAATGTCCTTCTCTGATCCTTCGTCACCACAGGTCCCTCTTGAGGCTCGCCATGGTGACCTTCACTTGATGCCTTCACCCCACACAGGGAAATGGAAAGGAAGAAGATCAAGATCCAAGATAATGCCAAAGCTTTTCTTTGAGGCTCCATTGTTAACATAATGAGGGACTTTGGAGGGAAACTATGATTACACAGTTAGCAAAGGTGGCTCTATATAGAACAAGGTGGCTAGTATTTTGAGGTACGTGTCTTGTTTTTCAGACACGTCACGCACTTTTATACAGATGGCAGTTTCTTAGGTATGTCTCTCTGCATCGCAAAATTCCAAACACTCCAGAATGATCACTACGAATCTATGATAATTCTTATTATATTTTTTATATTTATTTTTATTAAGTTAGTGTAATATTTAATTATTAAAATTTAGTTTCAAATCAACGTCAAAGATAAAATTTGGGTAAAACCACCACTATTTTCCTACTTAAATAGTCATAACTTTGAATATAACCCAGCAATGAAAATAATGTCTTAAGCATTTGCCCTCTTCTATTTTAATAATATAATTATAAATTAATAATTCTATTTGAAACATATTACGATATTAATATAATTACGTATAAAATAATCGCTTTCTCATTATAAGTTCTCTGGTATTTTCTCTCCTATCTTCTTTTTTTCTACTATAACCGTAATTTGCAATTTTACATGTGAGAACTTTACATTTAAACTAGTCCATTTGTTTTTTCTTCTTGTTTTTTTTAAAACAAAAAAAAATGTTTGATAAAATATTTTTCGAACATACATTTATTTTTAAAATTTAAAACACAAATAAGAACATATTTGAGCTGTTTTAGTTTTTTAACTTCTGTTCTGTTCTTTCTTATAGCGTCTCATTTTATTTCCTAAATTTTATTCTTTAAAAACTCATTTTTAGAAACTGTTTCATAAAATAGTTTAAAAGAATGAAACGAATTCCCAAAACAATTATTCGAGTTTATAATACGGTAAAAATAAAATATTATTGTTATGCGTGTGATAAAACTAAATTATAAGAGTGAAAAAATTTTAAACTTTGGTTTTATTCAACACAAAAAATATTATATTTTCGAGTTTGTAAGAAGGAAGGTTGTGTAATGTGTTTTTGAATTTGTGATTGGAAAATTGTCAATTAATAAAATAGAGTATATTTTATTAATTATCATATATTTATTATTTAAAGTTAGTTGTGGTGAGATAAAATAAATTGTGTATATGATTTTGTGGTATGTTAAATTTAATTATTTGACTGTGAAATATAAAATCTGTAAAAAAAATAAAAATAAACTAAAGAAAAATAAAAAAAGATATGATATTAAATAAGCTCGGTGGTATGTACGTTCTCACGTGTCTTGTTTAGTTTTCTCGTGTGCTTTTGTTAAACAAAAAGAAGTGGGCTTCAGCCCGCGAGAACGTGAGAGAAGACGAGAGAGTCTGAGAAACCAGGAGAGTGAGAACGAAACCCTAATCCTCTTCTTCAATTTTTTTCTCCTTTTTCGGACCAAACCCTAGAAATCGAGAGGAATGTGGGTTGAGGGGAGACCAAGGGTAGATTTATTTCGGGAATGGTAACGCAAGGGAAGAGAAAAAGAGTTGTGACGCTAGAATGACCGTGAGGAGGCGCGAAAGGGATCCTAGGTAAGGGCATACAGAGTTTTCGAGTGGAAGTGAGGGTGAGTGCGGTATTTAAGGATTGGGAGGTAGGAGGAGTGAAATAACACACCATCATTCCTATTTGAGTGAAAAACAGAGTGAGGATTGAGAGAGAACGCGAGACGCGACGAGAAAGGGGAGGGAACGTTAGGAAGCTGGCTCCAGTAAGAAAGGAAGGATTGGATAAGGTATGGATGGTTAACCTGTGTTGCTTTCAAATCCTGGTTTGTATGTATGAGATGTAATGTCATTTGTGCTGGTTGATTATGGTAAATTTGATGTGATGATTTCGATGAGTGGATGTTGTATTTGCTCTTCTTTTTGGTGCAATGGTAATGCTAGAACCATAGGTGTTGTATGTGTGCTGGACTGAATGGAATTAATCTCTCTGGGAGCATGTGTTTGTTATTGAAATGTGTAATATTATCTCTGGTTTGAAAACATTATTTGTTATACTGATCGTACCACTTTAGTCATTATCTACTAGAGTTGAATTCTTGTTGTAGTGCTGTCCAGTTGTCTTTTGGTTGCTGTAAATAATTCTGTTTGGCCTATGCGGTGCTACTGCCATTTTTTTCTCTGTTTTATATGATAATTATTTACATGGATTAAGTTATTAGAATATTGTTTTAAAAAGGAAAAAGCTTGTTTTTTTTTATTGGAATTGTTTAATATTTTAATCAAGCTGTAGGAATCTTTTTCTTTGGGGTTAAAGTAATGAAAATTGGTTTGGACCGTTTAAATAATAGTTCTGGTAGGGGGCTGTGTCTTGTCAGTGGTGCTAATTGTTGAATGTAAAACTAGTTGGTAGCATGGTGTCGTGAAAGCAACAGGTGCCAGTGTTCTTGTGAGATGTTAAGTATGAGTCATTGATTTAAAAAGGTGGGTGTTCATTGCTGCCTTGTGGTTTTCATTGCTATCTTGCACTATTTTAAGCTGATTAAAAAGTGATGAATCCCTGCTGTTCTGCGCTATTAACATACGTCAATTTATTGCTGTTTTTACACTGTTTTAATTACTGTTTCTACACCAGAAAACTTTGCTGTTACAAAATCTATATATAACACTTTGTTCTTTGCTGTTATAAAATCTATATAAATTACTTAAATTTGCCAAAAAGTCTTGCTGTTTCAGAATTCTGTATTTTTTGCAACTGCTGTATTGTTGTCGTGTGTTATCAGTTTGCATAGAATCCGGCTGTTATATGAATTTAATCAATATGAAAAATAGCTAACGGTTTAGATAATATGATGCTATCAGATGTGGTAGTTCAATTAGATTGTATAATGATTAATGTTTACGACTGCTAGAGTAAATCATAGACTTTTAAAGACTTGTGTGATGTTGCTTAAGTATTAAAATTGTTAATACTGCTGTGTAATGATTATAAGTCTTTTGAATATACTTCTTGATGTTGTGATTATTGGACTATGTGAGATGATGAGATAGCTGGATTTGCTTGGATATGTGTGTACAATTGTTGTTGCATGTATTTTGATGTCTTAGAGTTATTGTTGGACCGAGAAGTTGTAGGATTGTTTGAGTGTTGGACTTGTGATGAATATTATTTGGTGTTGCCTTAGGTTACAAAATTACTTCTGGGTGTGATGGTTATGGACTTTATCTTAAATAATGATTGTGATAAGTTTCCTTTGATGTTTGGTACAACATTATAAACTGTTAGATGTGATATGCGGCTGTTTGTAGAGATTACATTAATTGCAGATTTTGTATGATATATGTACAAGTATACGAAATTGTTCATGTGTGGTATAAATGATTATAAATCTTTGGATTGGTGCTATATGGCTGTTTTGACATCGCTTTGATTGAATTGATTGCCATATTGGATATCTTTTGCACTCAAGTTATTTATTTAGGTGTGGTGAATTCTTAAGAAAGATAAAGTTAGTAATGTCCAAGTGAGGTTGGTATGGATAGACTATGAGAGTACCCCGGGGTTAGGAAGTGGTCTAGAGAGTTGGGTGTGAAGCCCTTGAGTTTAGGATACTTCTTTCGCCTGTGTGAGGCAGTGGAAAGGGGCACTCTTCAGACTATGAGAGGCAGTAAGCCCTCGAGCCTATGCGATGCAGGGGAGGGGAAGATGTTTAGCCCTATAAATTCGGCTTGATTCTGGTTGTTTTGGTGTTTCATGATATGAATTGCTTCCTCTGACTGATTCTATGCTTGAATGGTATTTAGATTGCCATGTTGTGATGTAATGATCTGGTTGTCATGAAATTGGGAATTCTGTTATGAATGTTAATCTCCACTGTCTCGAGTCTTTTGATTTGAGTGTTGTATTATGCATGGTTATGTCCTGGTATGGTATGTATTCTGTGTTCCCTAGTTGTGTCTACAGTAGTCTTGATGCAAGGGTAAGCTAATATGTTTAAGGGCTATATTGGTTGTTATTTGTGTCAGGATATTGGTGACATAATGTTAGGAAGTTAAAAGTATATGAGAGGAGGAATAAAAGAGGAGGATCAAACGGTAATGTTGAAGTAAGGTGCGAACGGTGATGTTGAGTGAGGGCCAAACGGTATAAAGTGATAATACCGAACGGCGGTTGCAAGGGAGGAGGGAGTGAAAAGCCGAACGGTATAAAGTGATAATACCAAACAGTAGAGAGTTAATGATAGGGAATTAAATAGCGGGAAAGTTTGTTAGGGGGAGAGAGAGTATAAATAAAGGCCGGAGTTGGCTGAGGAGGGGATCAAATATTTGTTTTGGGTTTAGACTGGACCATTTGGCTAGTGGAGGAAGAAGGGAGGGCTTCCTTGTGGGAACATTTACTTGTATTTTCTTTGTTATATACATTACAGATTCAATAATATACATACACATACTTTCATCTTTTGCTGTTTCGAGTATTATTGTGAGAAGAGTGTGTTCTGTTTGGTCTCCTGAACAAAGGAACCTAACACAATCTGTCAATGAATGGACTGTATAAGTTTGAAATTCTTTCTTCTGTTTTTATGGTGCACTATTTGTTTTCTTAGTTAGAACGCTAGCGAAAGTGAAAATTTACATTTCTACACTTTGCAATATTACTCTATTGTTTTGTTTCATTTCTAGCATTGACATTGGTTTCGTTTTCTTTTTTTATCTTTTCCCGGTTTGATTATTGCCTCTGTTGGATGATTTAATTCTATTCTTCGTTCAATTTAGGTGGCTTGTAGATTTTGAGAGTTGCTTTCACTTAATACTAGTTGAAGGGAGCTGAATACTGAATACAAGACAGATGGTAAATTACGGATACTTTATAATGATAATATCACTTCATTCTTTTTTTCCATTACCAACTGATTGATATGTTAATTTGTTGTTTTTAATTTGATCATCTCAGTATCCATCAAGCATGCCTATCCTTTTGCTATGTTTATTCTTTAATTTGGTGATGCTGTTAACTATATGCTTGGTGCAATTCATGAACAGGTTCACATGGCAGCATCTGTAAGGGGGGTTCATAAACTTGTATCCTCCTCCCGGATTGAAAAACTGCTTTCCCTTCCACGTTCCAAACAGCATCTGCCACCGTGGGTTGAGATTGTGCGCCATTTTAGCTTTACTGATGATTTCAGTGGCAGAAGCAAATATACTACTGGGGAACGTGATGATTTTCTTCGTCAACAGCCAGACTCAAGTTTTGAAGACAATGGTAGTAACCGAAACCATGAGGCATATAATGTTGAACAGGGATTGTCAGATTCAATTCCAAGTAGACCTTTGAGAAGTAGGAAGCCAATTAATCAGCCTCCTCCACGTTTTCGAGAATCAGGGAGAGTTTCCTTTCCTCCAAGATTTGATGATAGCCATGGTGCGCCTGGTGCTTTGGACAACTCAAATAAATCTTCCAAAATTGATCTTGCATTTCAGGGCACGAATGGGGCAGAAACAAATAGGGACTTGGGGCAATCAGGAGACAGTTTCCTTGACAAATTCAAGCTTGCTTTTGATGACAAAACAGTGAATCAGTCAGAGGTTGCAGCAAGCGTGCAATCTGAAGAAGCAAAGTGGTCAGATTCCAATTCAAAGGCTCAGGAGCCTGTGCCACAAGATGCCGATGAGATATTCAAGAAGATGAAGGAGACTGGCCTTATCCCTAATGCTGTGGCTATGCTCGATGGTCTATGTAAAGATGGTCTGGTTCAAGAAGCCTTGAAACTTTTTGGTTTGATGCGGGAGAAGGGAACCATTCCAGAGATTGTCATATACACAGCAGTAGTGGAGGGATACACAAAGGTCGACAAGGCTGATGATGCGAAAAGGATTTTCAGGAAAATGCAGAGTAGTGGCATTTCTCCCAATGCTTTCAGTTACACAGTCCTTATACAAGGACTCTACAAGTGTAGAAGATTACAGGATGCTTTTGAATTTTGTGTGGAGATGTTAGAAGCGGGCCACTCACCAAATGTGACAACTTTTGTAGGCCTGGTGGATGGTTTCTGCAAGGAAAAAGGGGTTGAAGAAGCTAAAGATGCTATCAAAACATTAACTAAAAAGGGCTTTGCTTTTGATGAGAAATCTGTTAGGCAGTTTTTGGACAAGAAAACACCATTTTCACCCTCTGTTTGGGAGGCGATTTTTGGGAAGAAAGCCCCGCAGAGACCATTTTAACTATTTTTCATACCATGTAAGCTTTTGTCTTAACTCTTCTACTGATTTGTCAGACTGTTTTCTTCCTTTATGTTATATATTGTTATTTTTGGCCTATTAAAATTTGCTAAAAGGGGTTCGACAGGTAGTTGTTTACTTCTTGATAGTAAGCCTCATTTTCGAGTATGAATGTACTTGTCCTAAATTATTAATTAGCTTTTTAACTGTTAATGATTTCTTCACCACTTCAATAACTTGACATCCCTCAATCTGAAATTCTACTAGCAGTTAACAGAATCTGTTACGGAGATCTAACTGTTTCACAAGACTAAGTAGGATCTGACTCCTATATGGAATGTATACAAGAACCCTTATCAGGTTTCATTTCTCAATCAATTTTCTAGTTCTAGGCTTCTGGGCATGGATCATGACCTTAAGTTCATGGTGATCAGGCATGACTAACTTGGCCCTAATCCTTACCTCAGTTCCTGTGACCCTAACTCGATTGACTCTTGGTTACATCTCATTTTGTTTCTGTGAAACGTGATGAACTAGGAAGCAAGAAGTAGAAGCTGTGATCTAAGGAGACAGACTTGACCAATTTGTGTTGAATCAAGAAACGCAATAGTGTTTCCTATATGATGCTGTGGCGATTGTGGCGTAATCAAACATTCAACGGAGACAATAGGGATCAGCTTCTGCTCTTTTGGCTCCTTGCTTCACTTTTTGAGTATCTCATTTGTGTAGTTTGTTGCACACTTTTGGTAGCTTGGGGGTAAGATACACTGATACATCATTCTTTCGAATTCCAAAATTTTGTGCTAAGTTCATCATAAAAGGCTCCTACTCTGTTTCTGAATGCTTGTTGCGGATCAACGCTCTGTTTGATTCCTTTGATCTTCCTGGGTTTTCTTGTGTACCTCATTAACATACTGATGTGATCTTGGATGACATTATTGAGGTAGTTTGATGCTTGTTATGACATTCATCAATAGTAGAAGTGAACCTCATTAAAAGCAATCTCTCAAATTCAGTTTCTATTAGTTAGCTCTCAAGAAGCAAGTAGTTGGTTTTGTTTAGTTTTTTAAAACTCTTGTGACAACTTTAAATCGTTGTTATTTCGAATAGGAATGGAAGATGCAAATAAAAACGAGGAATGTAAAATTGTAATTAGAAAAAAAAAACAATTTTAAAAAGATTTGGTTTTTATTTTAAGAATTGGAAGCTTTTTTTCAAAACAATATTCTTACAGAATAAGTTTTTTCATTCCCGCTTTTAAAAATAGAAATGGCTTTAAAATTAAGAGACAGACGTGGATTCAAATACTCAATCTAATTGCTAGGATTTGTGTTTGAAGTTATTTTCTAGTACTTTAATATTAGAATTTGTAATTTTTATCTTGTAAACTATTTTGATTAGTTGGTAGTTAATTTATTTTTTTATTTTGTTCTGTATATATTTATTTTTTTTAATGTTTTTATTTACTACTGCTATTATTATTATTTAATTTTTGGACTATTTTGTATGTTTATTAAATTCAAATTAAAAGAAAGATTGAGTATTACCAATTGAAACAATTAATATTTCGTTAAATAATATTATTGAAGAATTACACGATAAAAACCTACACAAAAAACTAAGTTTAACATTAGTAGTTGAAATGGAGAAATAAAAAGAGTTAAACTTGACATTAGGTCAATTAGTTTAAATAAAAGTTCTTATGTATTCAAATATATTTTACACACACGCGTGGGTGGGTTGCTAACTTTTTTAGTTAGCACATTTTAGTATCAAGTTTTAATAGATAAAAATATTCTCATATATTATGAATTCTAAGTTTTAAGGTTAAGGTATTTGAATAATTTTTATTCTCAATTAAAAAAAACTCAAATTCTTGTTCACCTCACTTGTTTTTCTCAATCCTTTCTTTTTCATCTCTCACTCCAATTTTCTCTCTGTCATTCCTACTGTTGTCCCAACTGAAAAAAAAATCAGAAACACTCGTCTAATCTTAATCTACCTTCCTCACTTATCCAATTTGTTTCTCTCTCATCTACATACTCTTTCTCACCCACACACAACAACTAGACACCGCAATTTGTTGCTCTTGCTCTGTTCGTTCATTTGTTTTCCACTTTAATAACAAAATAATTGATGATGTTGATGTTGATGTTGATTTTTGATTGAAGAGTTGTGTTATATTTTTTCTCTTCGGATTATTATTAAATTTTGTTTCTAAATTTTAGAAACAAATTGGATAAGTGAAGAAGGTGGATTAAGGTTAGTCGATTGTTTCTGATTTTTTTCAGTTGGGGCTATAGTAGGGATAATAAAGAAAATGTTTGAGTAAAAGAGAAAGGATTGAGAAGAATGGAAAATGTGTAAGGGTTTGAGCTTTTTTTAGTTTTGAGAATGAAAATTATTCAAACATCCTTCACCTTTAAACTTAGAATTCATAATATATGAGAGTATTTTTTTCTATTAAAAATCGGTACACATTGTTAAAATGTACCAACTAAAAAAAAATGTACGAAGTTAACAAATCCATATATATATATATATATATATAACTTTTAAAAACTAAATAAAATTTTTAAAAATTAATTATTTTTCAAAAAAGTTATAATTTTAGTTGCATAAAATATATTTTTATCTATAAAATACAAATTTTATTTATATAATAAAGTGTCTACTTTTATTTGTTTTTGTGTAATGTTACATTTATCATCCAGTTTATAAGTTAAACTTAAAAAATATTTCTATCTCAATAAATTAGTCTATTATCTTTAAATTTACAAGACAAGCGTTTAAAAACTAGTCTATCTATGAGATAGCTTATAATGATATGATATGACTTTTTTTTTTTTTAAATAGGTTTCCATCGTACTAATATTTCTTTATTTTATTCAAACTTATTTTTAATATAAATTAAAGTGTATATTTATATAACTTAAATAATGACATAAAAAGTTTACAAAATATATAAAATGTTGAATTTGATAGCAAACAGATCAATTTGGGAGGTGCACAACTATTCATTGAATAGTAAAGTTAAAGAAAAAAGAGGAACTGAAATTGATTGAAGAGTAACAGTAAAAAAGAAGAAGCTGAATTTCTCATGTGCTGTAGAACTATTGGAAAACGAAAACCATTTCAGTGTCATATTTTTTCTCATTTTCTCTAATGAATTATACATTAAAAATACTATCTTGAAGATGGTGTTACTCTGTTCATAGATATAGAAATCACAATTCTAATATCTTACTTAAGCCACATGAGTGTTTTACTGCTTACACCAACTTAAGTTAAAACTATTTAAATTAGAAACATTTATGGAAATTTATGGAAATAAAAATATGTTTAACAGTTGAATTCAATTTGAAATTGGCTAAAAATATAATTTATATTTAAAGAAAGATAAATTTGTTTGGCGGTGTCAAGAAGATAGAAAGGTTTAATCTTAGAATAATATTGGTGAACAAAGTTCTAATATCAAATATTCGGAAAATTATATAAAGAAACATTTAAAGAAAAATTTTAAAAATAAAAATTACGCGAGTCACTTTATTAAAGTTTAATAAAATGAATAATAAATGTCAATTGTGACTAATTAAAAAAAAAACATTTGTAAATGTTCGGTTGTAACAATTATTGCGATTTTTTATTTTTTGAATGCAATTTTCAAAATAAATTTATTTGGTAAAACTAGAGTTGAGTTTTAAGTCAAATAATAATAAATTATTGGAATATTAAAATCGTATAGATATGTGGAAAGAGAAATAAAAAAAAGAAAGGAGTGTATAGATAGCACCCACCCTATTCGTTGAGCCTTCTTCCTTCGGAGTGTGCCGCAGCAGAGTAATCATCTTTTTCGAATCCAAACTCCATTTGTGGCGTTGACTAGCAGAGATGGAACAACCACCCTCTGAAGCCCTCGAATCTTTGTCTGTCTCAGATTCTCAGATCCCTCAGTCCTCCAGTTCCACACCTCAGTAAGTTTTTTCTCCGCTTTTTCTCTCTCCCCAATTCTTTCTTAGGGTTTCCATTTCACTTTTCATTTTTAATTTTGCTCGCAGATTGAGTCCCGAAGAGAAGTTTAAGATTGTGAGGAGCGTCGGAGAAGAATGCATTCAGGAAGACGAACTCCTTAACCTCCTCACCAAAAAGCCCGAACCCGTTTGCTACGATGGTTTTGAACCCTCCGGACGCATGCACATTGCTCAGGTCAGTGAATATCTATTTTCATAAATTTTTTAATATTTCTGTTATGTACTTTGACAGAATGGAAACAAAAATACATATAAAAAAGTAGTTTATTGATTGTGAGTAGTTGATTACTTGAGTTCTATGTTGAAGGCTTTGGAATTTTTTGAATGAGGTGTAGTGTGGTGTGGCTGGCGTAATTGTTGTTCATTTTTTCATAGTATGCTATTATTTTAGGGTGTCATGAAAGCAATCAGTGTGAACAAGCTCACATCTGCTGGTTGCCGTGTCAAAATATGGATTGCTGATTGGTTTGCCAAGCTGAACAATAAAATGGGAGGGGATTTGAAGAAAATTGAGACGGTTGGTCGTTACTTGATTGAGATTTGGAAAGCTGTTGGGATGGATGTCGAGGGAGGGAAAGTTGAGTTTCTGTGGTCTTCGAAGGAGATTAACGCCAGAGCTGATGAGTACTGGCCTCTTGTGTTGGATATAGCTCAGAAGAACAATCTAAAAAGGATTATCAGGTTCATTTCACTTTCTAAAATGCCTTTCTATTTATTCTTGTTAATGGTGGCTTTGGACTGGAACTGATGTTGTGTTTTAATTTTATGAATTATAGGTGTAGCCAAATAATGGGACGAAGTGAACAGGACGAATTGACTGCTGCTCAGATATTCTATCCATGCATGCAGTGTGCGGACATATTTTTCCTCAAGGTACAGTTCTTTTTGCACTATATATTTGTGCTTGCATCGATTAGTTAATGTATACTTTATTAGCTTGTCATCACTACAAAATTATTCTACATTTCCCTATAAGTTCACAATGGATGTTAGTTTACTGTAGAGAACTCGTCTGAAGTAAATAGATCTGTCATTGTTACAACGCTAGCATTAAAAATGGAAATTGTTATAATGTGTTAATTATTTCTACCAAGTGTCGATGATCTCTTCTCTGAACCTCAACTGTGCTGCTATTGGGTTTCTAATCTTTGGATGTTTAGATACTGTGCTGTTATTGGGTTTCTAATCCTTGAATCTTCAGATATTATTGTTACTTATGTCCTAACCTCTGAAACTAGTTGTCAATTTGCTTAAAAAACAATCGTATAATACATAGATGTTTCTTTTTGCAAACAGGCTGACATCTGCCAATTGGGAATGGATCAACGGAAAGTGAATGTTCTTGCTAGAGAGTATTGCGATGACATTAAGAGGAAGAACAAGCCCATTATCTTGTCACACCGTATTCTTCGAACATCCTTTGAAATAGTGTATGTTTAAGTTTTGTCTCTGGCTAACTGTGTTTTGGCGGTGATTTGCAGACATGTTACCTGGTCTGCAGCAAGGGCAAGAAAAGATGTCAAAAAGTGATCCATCATCTTCTGTTTTCATGGAAGACGAGGAGGTAAGTACAAAGGCCTATCAATTGTCATTTCTAGTTGCATTCTCTTTTGTTTATAGGACGGCTCATGAATTTTTTTCATTTTGAAAAAAATTGTGAAAATATAAAAAGGGCATAAAATGTTTAGCATGAAGAAATATGTCGTTCTGCTTTTTATGCCAATATATAACTATTTGTTCCTTAATGATAAATGTTTTTTTCAGTGCTTCCTTTTTTTTGTAATTTCCCGTTTTATTTTTATAATTAAACTTATTGTGTCTTTTTAATTTTATATTTTGATATAGGCTGAAGTGAATGTGAAAATAAAAAAGGCGTATTGCCCACCAAAGATTGTGGAAGGAAACCCATGCTTGGAGTACATTAAATACCTTATCTTACCCTGGTTTAATGAGTTCACAGTGGAGCGTAGTGCAGATAATGGAGGGAATAA